TGATCGCGGTTTCCTCATCACTGAGCTGCCACCACTCGGCGCGAAATCGAGAGGACACCGTCTAGTCGGACAAACCATGCATGACACAAGAACAAATCTCTGGGGATGCGTCGGAAAGATGCCTCAACCTTTGGCTCCAGCCTGCAATCTGAACGCCCCGAGCCCACAAACCGCCCAGAGGCGCCACGAAACCGGCTCCGCCTGTACTGATCGGCCGCGCACTACGCGCTCCAATAATCGCATAGAGCGGATCGCCGCAACCACATCTGCACTGGTGCGAAACTCAGTAGAAGGCCTGTCGTGCGAACGCGGGAGTCTCGAAGGTGCTGTCAAAGGCAAGCGGCGGCGAGGCACACTGCAACGACAGCACGGCGAAGGCGCCAGCACTGACGTGACGCGCAGGGAACCAATGGACAATCAAGTGCCGAACACGGCTTCTTCATGTTAGCTCGTGCATCGAACGCATCGAAAGCATAGGGTTGTCATTTGGACGACATGCGACCTGCGTCAGCAAGCGTGTTGGCAACACGAGCAATGGTGCGACTGCCCATAAATCCTCATGGTCACAAGGGACACCTTCAATTCGCAATCGAACACGCGTAACTGCGACGCACCTCAATGCAAACACACGGCCCTTCATGCATAAACCACAAGCACGCAACACAAAAAAACAAACAAGGACCGCTCGGAGAACCAACCGCGATTCTGGATTCATGTGCAGGTTCGCTGGGTCTGTCAGCGCCTCTGCCTCACTGGCGACTGCGTGACGATTAGCGCGGAGTGCAAAAGGAGCGACGCAACAAGATTGGGACATAGAACTTGGAAAGTGAGATTCACCTTTCGCCAGGGACAGGGAGCGATGAGGAGGGGCGGAGAACACTTGACTCAAACCCGGGCTTGCGAGCCATCCTCTTCCTCTGACTCCTCATCGATCCTCCTCTTGCTCCCTGTCCCCGCTCCCCTCCAGACCCTGCCCCTCCCTTCTGCCTCACCTCTCCTCGTAAAGGAACCGAAACAGCACAGAGATGAACAGCAACAATCGAACGGAGTTGTGTGCCCCGAGATGTCAGGCAATCCGAAGCTCTGATCTGTAGTCCTGACCATCCGCATGCCGCCTGCACTCCGTCGCCATTTCAGCCCCCCTCCTTCGGAAACTGTTTCTCTACGGGGCGCTCTTCATACCACGTAGCGCAGAAAGAAACAGTGCCTTCTCGAAGAATCTGCAGGATACGTCTGTCTGACCGTCCTGGCGCGTCGTCATGGCAGGAAGGGCATGCAAGTCGATTATGAGAACCAGGTGGAAGATCAAGAGGAGGTACTGGACTCGAGAAACACTTCCCGGCGGGTGTTGCTAGAAGTGGTCCGCGCCATGTGGGACACCTTGGGACCCGGACGCAAACAGGAGCTGCGCATGCTTCCCGCATTCTGGCACTCGACGTATCAAACTCGACGTTTGTTTACCATGTAAAGGCCTCGGAGCACAAATTCTGCCACATGGTCTCCACAGGTGCATTACGTTTAAAGAAGCACATTCCTCAGTGCCACGAAGACCTCAAACACAAGCAAGAGCAACAAAAAACAACGGCTCCTTTCTTTGAGCGAAACTGCTCTCTCGCCTCCTGTCCTCCCGCCCTCCTCTCCAATCCCCGCCTGTTCTGCTCATTAATCAATAACTACCCGGCGGAGGGTCGTGATGTGGGATGTTCATCAGGTGTCTCAGGAGTGAGCTGTGCCTGACTGACTGTCGGTCCAGCTCTCCCGGCCGCCTGTCTTCGGGGTGGTGTCGTCGTCCCCTCCTCCGCTGCCGTGCTGCGGCGCTCCCCTGCCTGCTCTCCCTCTTGGTCGCCAGGGCTGTCGCGGTCTCGTTCTTCGCCCTGCTCCCCTCCCCGCGGCTGCCATTCCTTGTCGCTCGCTCTCCTTCTTCCCCCGGATCGGGGCTCGTCTTGGTTCCGGGGTGTCGTTCCCTCCTCTGCCCCCTGCTGCTTTTGCCGCTTGCCCCCCCCGGTCGTCCAGCCGGCGAGCAGTTTGAAGTAGGAGCTGCGCATGTCGAGGCTTCTTCGTTCGTGGATGGCGTCTCAATGCTTCGCGGCCGTGCTGCCGGCAATGGAATGGTTCCACATGTTCCACCAATGTTCCTATGTCGTGCCCGGCTTCTTTCTCTCTCTCTCTCTCTCAATCTCTCTCTCTCCGTCTCTCTCTCTCTCTCTCTTTCTCGTTCTCTTTTTTGTTTGTTTTCTCTCTCTCTCTCTCTTTCGCCCGCTGGACACTTACTGAACTCTTTGGCTCCTACATACAATGATGGTGCAAGGCACTTCCTCTTCAGAACGGGGGCCATGGATGCACGCCACGCCACGGGGCGCTCTCGTCTTTCTTGTCGCAGGGGGGTGCTTTCACTGAAGGCGAATACCTGCAAGAACCTATGACGAGAAGGGAATGAAGGGGCCCTGGGACGCACAATAAATAGACACAAATAAAAGGATTCCCCATATGTTCCTGTATTGTCTGGGTGTTTGTCTCCCCCCCCCCACTTCCAATAGTGTCCCATGCTTTCTCTGGAATTCACGATTAATTGTGCCTGTGTGTGTTTTTGTTTCCCCTCTTGAACTCGGGGCGAGGGGGTATGTTGTAAAATCGTTAATATATCCCGGGCTTCCTCTGGTCTCCCCTCCCGCACCTCTCCGCCCACACCCCTGAGAGTCCAGCTACCCTCATCGCCAGAAATCAGCCACCAGACCTCTGTTGGTGTACGTTCTTGCCTGGGCTTCGGCGCAATTCCATCCACGTTGACGAGGCCACACCAGGAGGCACCAAACAGATACACATGAGCACGGCGCGACCACAATTAGGGGAAAGCTTCCTATTACATGGGCGCAGTTCCTGGCATTGCTTGGCATTGCGTGGAATTGCGTGGCAGTGCTTGGCTTTGGTTGGCATTTGGTGGCATTGCCTCGCATTGCTTGGCAATGGTTCGTACTGATTAGCATTGCATCGCATTGCTTGCCAGTGCTTGGTATTGCTTGGCATTGCTTCCCATTGCGTGGCGTTGCTTCGCATGTCTTGGCATTGCTTGGCATTGCTTGGCACTGCTTGGCATTGCTTGGCATTGCTTCGCATTGCTTGGCATTGCTTCGTATTGGTTGGCATTGCATCGCAGTGATTGGCAGTGCTTGGTATTGCTTGGCATTGTTTGGCATTGCTTCGCAATGCGTGGCAGTGCTTCGCGTTGCTTGGCATTGTTTGGCATTGCTTGGAATTGTTAAAAATACGAGGCACCGGGGGTGGAGAACCCGAGGAACCCCGGGAACCCGAGGAACCTCGGAGGAACGGGCAAGGTAAAAACTTGAGGCACTGGGGTCGGGGAACCCGAGGAACCCGGGGAACCCGAAGAATCTCAGAGGAACGGGCAGGGTAACAATGGGAGGCACCAACCTTTAAGAATCCCCACGCACCCATCGGAGGGTCAACGCTAGGGGGACTGGGAGAGGGGGGGGGGGACAGCGAGCTAGAATCGGCGATGTATCGACACCAGGGGCCTGATGGATCACCCTGCCCAGGAGCGTGCGGAATCGTTGTCAGGTGCAACTACCCGATGTATGGGCAATCCCATCTCGATGTGCCTCGCCCTGAGCCTATCTATCCCGCCCTGACGTTGCCCCTGACCTCCTCTCTCCTCTTCGTGCACACTGGCCGTATCCTTAAGGTGCTTCATGCCAAGAGTGTTGTACCCCACGGCCAGGCGCTCGAAGAGGGTGGAAAGCACCGTGTCCTGCATCTGCTGTACGGTAGCCTGCGCACTAGGTCGAGAACGAGACTCGAGTAGCAGTGTCAGAAACTTGCCATCGCTCGGACGTCCATTCCCCATGCACCCATGCACTTCTTGGTTTCGCGCGTGCTTGATTTTCTCGAAAGGGTCAAACATTCTCCTAGATGATCCAAATGTCCTGCCGCTGACCTCTCCGGGAAAATGCACACGTCCGAGCGATGGCAAAGAAAAGACGAAAGGGGCATGCACCTAAACGGTCGGAGATCCGTGCGGATGTTCTGGATCCACTCCCCCATCCCTGGCGCGCGGAGTAATTACGCCAAGGGCGGCGCTAGAGGCGCTGCCAGGGGGGCCAAACGCCGAACCAAAAAAATCCGCGAGGGCCTCCCCACAATGCGAAATAGTTTTCAACACTTCTGGGCAATTATACCATGACATCTTACTCCTGCGATTGTTGTCTGGTGGATTTGGTCCGTGGATGGATGTTCTTGGATTTGGCTGGAGCCGCACTGTATCGAGGAAGGCGCTGGGCGGCGGCGCCCGGACCAGCTGCGGAGCAGCAACTTTCGTAATCCGCGTCCTCACATAATAAAGCGAAAGCATGACGAGGACAAACTGGGTGGTGATACTTCGAGAATCTCTGAGAACCGACGGCTCTGGAAGATGTCTCGGACGACACGGCCTTCTCGAAGCGTTCCGGAAGGCTCTGGGGGCGTTCTGGGACGCTCTGAAACGGATTTAGCTGCGCCCTGGCCTCATCCGAAGACGCCTCCCCTCCCGTCCAGCCCGATCCACCAGGTTGCCCAACATCGAAAAAGAGCATGTGGCGCGTACGGCAGGTTCGTGTCGTGCCGACCCCAGCGTTGGTTTTTGACACCGCAGGGATCGTTCAACCTTGAACGATCGGCCGCTGCCGCAACGTCCGATCGTTCAACATCGATCGATTCTGAGTCGCCGGCGGCGTTCAACCTTGAACGACCGCGCTGGGGTCGCCGCTGGTCGACACGACGCAAGCCTACCGTATGTGTTGTCTAGGTCCCTGCCTTCCCTCCTCTCTGCCCCTCCCCGGCGCGGGGCCCCCAACCCCGAGGTCGGGCAGCGGGCGCCTCCCGGGGTCTGGATGGGGTGCTCTGGAGGCCGCGCGGACCTCCCCTTGCCGTCGCTCGGACGCCCGTTCCCTGTGCGTCTGTCGGTTTTGCTCGCGTTTTTCTTGCTCGATGATCCAGGATGCTCTTCGATGGTCCTCGCCGAGGAAAAATGCACACGTCCGAGCGATGCCAAGTCCATGGAAATCCTAGGAGCACCTCGGGCCAGGGGCACTTCTATCGGGCGCTGGCGGGATTGAGCTTGGTGGGGCCTTGTTCAGTGACGTGCACTCGGGGAGACGCCCCCCCCCAAGCGGCGCTTCTCATGTCAACACCTTGGCCGTAACGACTCTGGCTGGAGAAGATGCTCGGGAGGGGAGCGTGGCCCCTCAGGGCGACAAGGTGAACGGAGCCGAAGAAGGAGCCAGAGGAGAAGGAGGAAGAGGAGAAGTAAGAGCAGGAAGAGGGAAAGGAGGAGGATGAGGAGGAGGAGGAGGAGGAGGAGCTAGGAGGAGGAGAAGAGGCAGGAGGTGGAGGAGGAGCAGGAGGAGGAGGAGGAAAAGGAAGAGGAGGAAGAGCAGGAGGAGAGCAATCTTGCGACGACGATTCGGCAAAATCCATTGAGGCCCCAGGGCCCCATCGCGAACCGGCGCCCCTTGCCCGCGGCGTCCTGGCCGTACCCGCTTCCGGCAGCACCCCGACGCACGATGAGCGCGAGCCCCTCGGGGCGCGGGGGTCTTGGGGGCATCGACCACTTCCCCGTGGGGCCAGCTTCTCAGCTCGGGCGGGTGGGGAAACCAATAGGTACCGATACCACTTCTCCTGGAACTGTGTCAGTTAGTGATTCAAATGGTGCCGGGCGCCCACTGCCCACAGGCCCCCCCAAAAGGAGTGAAGGGGACTCGGGCCGCGCGCCGGCCGTGCCAAAAAGCTGCGCAAGCCCAGAGGATCGGATGGACACAACGATGTCCCTGCCCTCCAGCCGGTCCGCTCCAGGGCTGCGTTCTGACCAGAATTTCGAAGCGAATCCAGCGGTGGCGACGAGGGCCTCCCAGGAGGCCGACAAAGAAGGGAAAACGGGCGAAGGCTAGCCGTATGGGTACCTCTTCTTCCTCTGAGCTTCTCATCGCCTGCGGGTGGTCGGCTGCACGCAAGAGTGGCCCCAGGCAAGAATGACCGCTGGTGCGCGGCCTCACGGGGCGCGCGGGGTGCACAGACCTGGGCGCACAGGCCGCTGCTATACCGCTCCGCATGCCGCCATCCCGGGGCCCGGCCATGCCCACACCGCAGGTCGTGCCGGCGAAAGGTCCCTCTTGCGTCCAGTCGAGGGTGGCCACCCCCGGGGGGGGAAGGAAAGGCGGGGAGGCAACTGATGAGAGGCCTGTGTCGGAAATGTGAAGGAAGGTGAAGCCCCACTGGGGGGCTGCGGCGCCGGATCAGGCCGCGGTGTCTCTCAAGCAAGAACACGGTGGGCTGAGATCCGGAAAGGGCGAGAGGGAGGAACTCTGTCCTCTGGTGCGAACAAAGAGAGAGAGAGAGAGAGAAAACAAAAAAAAAGAAAGAGACCTCAGGAAGGATCGAGGGGCCTCGAGAACTCCTGGAAAAGACCTCCGAAGAAACTCGGGGACAGCGGATGAAACAGGATTAAGACGGATTGAGCGGGATCCAGCCGGAGCAAGCGGAACTCAACCGGAGTAAGCGGGATTCCGCCGCATTGCGGAACGGGGCAAGATCAGCATCTGACATCCCAGGAACTGCAGCCGAAGAGCAGGGCCCGAACGGAGCCCTCTGGGACGCCTTCTGGAGCCAGGGGGGGCCCAAACGGGGCCAGAGGCACGGCCCCTTCAGGGCCTTTTTCTTCACCTCCCACTTGGAGTCACCCACCATTACCATGAGGTCGGGCATGTCCCCCTAAAGGCGGATTTTAGGCGAAACAAAATCAGGTACATATTCACAAATAGTACAACAACTCAAAAATAGTCCCCTAGCTTCTTTTTACTATATTTTTGAACACTCCTCTTGCAGAGGGACAGGCCCGACTTCACATTACCACCCGCTCGATCGTCCCGAGCTGCCTTGTTGACGGCCCCGGGGCCCCGAAAACGCTGCCTCGAGACGCTGGGGAACAGCTCGAGACGAAACCAAGAGGATGACAACGTCAGAGGGGGATGAGGCGCGAGAACGACTCGAGAATCTCAGGGATCCGGCGGCGCCGCGGCCCTCTCAGGGCGTTCCGGCACGCCCTGAGAGCGTTCCGAAACGCCCTGGAACGGAGTTCTCCTCCTGCTACTCGTAGGTCGGGCATGTCCCCCTACGCGCAGATTTTGGAGGAAATGTGAAAAATTGCCAAAACAGATTCAAGAATGATCAACAATAACTAGATGCTTAAAAATACCAGAAACATCGTCCCCTGACCATGTCTGTACTATGTTAGAAGATTCCTCCTGTAGAGGGACATGCTCGACTTAATGCTAGTCCCGTCGGGTTGACGGCCCCGGGGCCCAGGACAAAACTGCCTCCAGAGGCCGAGGGCGGCGCGAGACCCGCCGCCGCGAGACACTGCCACTGCGCCGCCCAGATTTGAGCCCGGGGCCCGCCTCCTGAGCCGAGGGGCGGCCGAGCATCATTGACCCGATCCCTATCCTGGAGGCCTCCTCGATGGGGTCGGAGTCAATGGGGTCGGGGGCTCGCGCCGCATCCCCGATGCATCGGCGATACATCGCCGACGCATCGGCGATGCCCTGGCGATGCACCAGCGACTTCGGCGGTGCATCGGCGCCGCCAGCGTGGAGGAAGTCGGCTCCGCATCGAGCCGCATCGCCGATACATCGGCGATGCGGAGCGATCCTCCGACCCCATCTACTCCGACCCGATCTAGGAGGCCGAAATATCCGCACTGGTGTGGCCTTGGCCCCACTGGCCAACTGACCCACCTAGGCCCCACTGGACATACACGCCCGTTCCTTCGGGTCTCGCGGCGCGTATCCCCACCTACTGGGAGAGTGGACTGGCGGGGCTGAGATATCATCGCCGCCGAGTGGGGATTGCGATACGTTGGACGATGCTGAGCGGTGTCGCCACGGCGCCGTCTGGGCAAACCACTCCTGTTCATTCCCAGACGGCGCTGGCGCGAATCGCGGCGTTACAGGCCCCCTCACCGCTCCACCCCCCCTTCACGTCATGGGGATAGCGACGAGAAGCCCGCGGTCGCGGTACTGCTAATGCGCCGACCAAGACGAGAAGGAGATGGAGGAGGAGGAAGAGGAGGAGGAGGAGGAGGAGGAGAGACGGAGGAGAAGACGGAGGAGGAGGAGGGGGGGGGAGAGAGGAGGAGGGAGGAAGAGGAGGAAGGAGAAAGAGGGGAAGGAGGATGGAGGAGGAGGAGGAGGAAGGAGGAAGAGGGCAGAGGAGAAGGAGGAGGAGGAGGAGGAGGGAGGGGGAATACGGAAAAGGAAAGCGGAAGGAGGAGGAAGAGGAGGGGCAGGCGGAGGAAGAGGGAGAGGAGGAGGAGGAGGAGGAGGAGGAGGAGGAGGAGGAGGAGGAGGAGGAGGAGGAGGAGGAGGAGGAGGAGGGGCTGAGGCCCCCCCCCCCACCTCCCGAGCCGATTGGGGCGGCGGCGCCGCGGCACGACGCCCCCCCCGGGCGGCCTGCTCCGCCCGCAGCACGCTCTCCAGGCAGCGCACCGCCGACTCGTGGTCGCCGGCCGCCTGCACGGGCCATCGCCCGCGGCGCGCCGGCGGCGCGCGACGGCGGCGGCCAAGCGGCGGCCCCGCGGCGGCCCCGCGGCGGCCCTCGGCGGCCCTCGGCGGCCCTCCGCTGCCCTCGTCGGCCGTCGTCGCCGCAGTCGTCGACGGGACGCTCTCCGGGGGGGGCTCGCGGGGGGCCTCTGCCAGCGGCTCTCGCCGCGGGGCGGGGCGCGGAGGCCGGCGCGCGCCTGGAACTGGACGAACTGCCGCTCGGCGTCGACGAAGGGCCTCGCCCCGGGCGCCCCGGAATCGGCCGCCCGCGCGTCCGCGTGCACTCCTCGTCCTCGACCGCTCCGTCACCTCGTCACCTTCTCTCTCCTGCAGCTCATGCCCCTCCTCGCCCATCATCGACGTGGGCGTCAGAGCGCTACTTGTGCTGGCGCCAGCTGTGGTTCTGGCTGGTGGCGGGAGGGCGAGGTGTGCAACTGAAGTAGTGGTACGGCAATGGTGGCTCAAGAGATCGTGGTGGTAACACTGGCGGTGGTTTGGCTTCAACCGGCAATGATTCCCAAATGCGTGCCTGAATTGAAGGGGTCCAAGCGGACCTTGAAAGAAAAGCGAACGTGCGGGGCTGATTCCGGTAGGCGGCCAGACTCCCAGGATCCCGGTCCTGGGTTCATCGATTTCCCGTTTCAATCCGATAGTTCGGTGGGCGGCCAAATTCCTAGGTTCTCTGTTCCGGGTCCAGAACCCCCAGCCTTGTAAGCTTCCCAGGACTTCGCGTGTTTCTTGTGCTGCGGTGAAGTACCCAGGTCCTTCAGGAAACGGTGAAAAAGGACAGAATACAGTATACTGTGAAGAGTGCATATCGGGTGCGCGAGAGGGATACAAAGAAACAGGGTAACAACACGTGAGTCAGAGACACACAGCGGAGGGTTTGATTCGAGATCTTCCTCTGCCGCTCCATCCTTCCTCCTTCCTCCTCCCCCGCCGTACTACTCCTCGACTGGCGAGAAAACGTGGCAAACGTAGGGTAACACGGCCGATCCAAGAAATCCACGCGGACTACCAAAGGTTTATGTTTTTGGCACATTCGTGTCGAGTCGTGACGACCCAGGCGGTTGGTCGTTCAACCTTGGACGATCGGCGGGTGTCTTGATCGCCAGGACTGAGAGGCAACAACAGGGGGGGACTGGCATGGGGGGGGATGCATCGACCTGGAATCGACGATACATCGCCGACAGATCTGCGATAAGGCCCCCGATAGTGAAACCGCTCCTTCCTGGACGGGTTGGGGCTGTCGGGACCTCATCTGCGATCAATAGAAAAAAACATGCATATACATAAACTTTTTGCGCTCCTCGCGGACTTCTTGGATCTGTGCTGGACCCGACTTCCCTGGCGCGCGGAGCGCGCCCAGGGGCGGCGCCGCCAAGGGGGGCCAATGCGCGGATCCAAGAAATCGCCGCGGAGCGCCACAAGTTTCTCTTCATGACGTTTGTTATCTTCTTCCACCTATGCCTGTCCCCCCCCGTAATCATTGCTCCCGACTGGAGCGTGGACGCGTGGGTCGATGCCCCCCCTATGCCTATCCTTAGGTCGGGCATGTCCCCCAATTGGCGGATTCTGCGCGGAAGTTCGAACATTGCCCCCCCCCCCCCAAAAAAAAAAACAAATACCCCCAATTAATCAAAAACTGATCGAATAATGCTCCCCAACTAATCCACACTCCTGTAGAGGGACACGCCCGACTTGACCCTATGCCTGTCCCCCCCTAGTCCTCGTTGGCAAGCCTATCCCTGGCCGCCGCCGGCGCTCCACCTGAAACCGAAACGCCCTCGGCCAGGGATCGTCACGGGCGCCGTCGCAGACACGGCCAGTGACGCATGCGCAGCTGGCCTCCGCTCTTCGCGCGAAGCCCGGGGCCGAGGCCTCAAGACGAAGCCAGGACAAGGTCAACATCGGGGGAAGATCCATCGAGAATAACCAGCCTCGAACCTATCCATATTCCTAAGACTGACAATCTTAGGGATACGCCCTCAGAAACTAAGGGAATCCTTAACATCGGCATCGGGATGAGGCGGTGCCAATCATAAGGATATGGATATGTTCCAGGCTGGTCAGAAAATCTCTGAGACCGGGCGGTTCTATAGAGGATGTCTCGGGCGCCGCGGCCTTCTCAGAGCGTTCCGGCACGCTCTGAGAGCGTTCCGGCACGCTCTGGAACGGATTCACCCTCGTCCTAGCCCCACCCGAGGCCTCCCAGATGGGTCGGAGTAGATGGGGTCGGACATTCGCTGCTCATCGTCGACGCAGCACCGGTGCATCGGCGATGCATCGGCGACGTCGGGCACAGAAAGAACATCGGGCTCCACATCGAGCCGCATCGCCGATGCATCTCCGAGGTGTCGGCGATGCCCCGGCGATGAGGCGCGATCATCCGACCCAATATCCTAGGACCCTATTTGGGAGGCCTGAACTGGACTAGGGCGTCTACAGAATTCATTTACCCCAATTCTGAATACAATCAATTATGTACAGTAGGAGTTCCACCACAAGAAACCTTCAACGAAAAACCCAACCCTGAGACGCCAGGACGTCCTTCGATTTTTGGTATGGGAACGGCACGCTTCCCATAGCAAACAAAGCCATCGGTACTCAAGAAACCTAGGGTTCCCTGGAGGCAAGCAGGGTGTCTCTTGGCATGGCTTGCCACCGTGCTCGATGACTGGGGAGGTGCCTGACGCGGGTCGTCCTGGACCTCGGCTGGCACTGGGCCTCCCGTCCCGAACCCTCTCTTGCAGCGGGGGCCTCGGGGACCGGCCCGGGGGAGCCCCGACGGCGGCGACGGAGCGGGGAAGCCTCCAGGACTCAGACATCCGACGAAGTTGCGTTCCATGAGATCGTGGCGTCTCAATTTTTTCGAGCCGGGCGTTTGCGCCCTTTTCCGGGCCCCGGGACCCTTACAGATCGATCCGGCTCGAGAACTGGAGCAGAAGGATGGGCTCCAGGGCTCCGAGCGTGATTTTCTACGACGTTGCAATGTTTGCTGCTACGTCGGATATCAGGGTTTCCCCTTGCGCGGCCCCATGGAGGTCCCGATCCCTTCCCTGCTCGTCCCAGATCCTTTGTGGTGATGGCGCTATGGCCCGACGACGAGCCATGGAAGCCCCAAGCTGGGAGAGGTGTATGCCAGGATTGACAACAATCGTGCCGTCGGAGGCCGAGGCGCCTGGGTTGTCCCCCCCACCTCTCCCCCTCCCTGGCGGAGCCACCCCTCCTCCTCCTCCTCCTCCCCCTCCTCCTCCTCCTCCTCCTCCTCCTCCTCCTCCTCCTCCTGCTCCTCCTCCTCCTGCTCCTCCTCCTCCTGCTCCAAGCCACCACCATCCCAAAATCCCGACGTCGTGCTTCAAGTCTGGCCCTTCCCCTGGGCCAGGGTTTTCACTCCGAGCCGCTCCTTGACTGCCTTGGGGCCAAGCGAAAGCCGAGAGAAGCCGAATACCTTCACAAACCTGCCGTCGCTGCGTTTTATGACCCGACGTTGCACAACAATGCAAAACCAGAGCCCTGGGTCCGAACGTTCTGCTCTATTCCGTGGCGGCGCGCAGAGGGGGGGAGGGGGGAAAGGCTTCTCAAAAAGGAGGCTGCTTTTTCTCAGGAGGCGCACGCCCAAAACGTACAGACAAGGCCCGCGCCTTCTAGGAGCAGGGGTGCTTCTGAGAAGCCTTGCCCGCTCCCCCAGAACCCCCCTCCGCGCGTGGCCGAACTCCCCTGGGCCCAACCTTTCCAGCGCCCCCGGCGCCCGAAGCAGGGCAACACAGTCGCCGCCCCCGCTGCGACCTAAAAGCGCGACGCAGGCATCTCAGGGGGCACTGGCCTAGACGTAAGACTCGGTCGGCTTCGGGGGGCTCGGACTGGCCTGCCCGGGGGCTGCCACGGAAATGACGAGAGCCCATCTAATGTTTGACGGGAGCTACTGCTGCAAACACCCCACGAGAAGTGGAGCATCCAAATCCAAAACGGGCCCGCCAAAAGGCGCAGACAAACCCGAGTTCTGGCGAAGTAGAGTGTTACGCTTCCCCAATCAACCCGCGGGCAAGATTCATATCCGAATCCACAGCGTCTTGAAAGTTGCGCAAAAAATCCAAGGCACAGCGAATATGAACAAACATCTAGCCTGTTGACTCAAGGACCAAATGTTTTTCCATATCCCATGCGCCTCTGGCTTCTGGGAATGGAAACCCGCAGCTCCAAGACGCAATGGATATTCATACAATTCTTGCCCGCACCTCCTCCTGGGGAAACCAGGAGGTACCCATACCGCTACCCCCTCGGGACCCCTCTCAAGGGGTTTGCGTTCGGACCAGCATTTTGAAGCGAATATGCGAGGGCCTCCCAAGAGGCCAGAAAGCCGAAAACGAGGCGAGGGGTACGGTATCAGTGTCTACCTTTTGCTCCCCTGACTCCAGACATCCTTGGACATGGTTTTCCCACGCCGACCCCTTCCCCAATGTTCCCCAGGTGAGTGTGTCGTCCGGGATCCATTTTTACATCGCAGTGCAACATCGACAAAAAAGCAAGTAGGGCCACCTGGACCCCACCTTTCTGCTCCAGCTCTCGAGCCGGATCGATCTGTTAGTGTCCCAGGGCCCAGGAAAGGCGAGATCGCCCGGCTCGCCAAAACTGAAATGCCAAGATCTCAAGGATTAGACAAGCGCGTTGCACTGCTCGCAAAGTGGCCACTCGCAATCGACCCGGATCCACTGCGTCGAGGCAAACAGGCTCCATTGCATCGAGCAGGAGTTGTTTGTGGGGACGTTGCGAAGCAGCTACTCTGCGAGTAATGGAAAGCGCTCGGTGAGGGATTTTGGACTAGAATGATGTCCATTTTGAACAACAACTCATACACACAAACCGTAGGCGCTGCGCGCGGATCCAAGAAATCCGAGAGGAACGCCAAAAGTGTATCCTTGTGGCGTTGTTGCTTCTGCGATAGATGGGGTCGGAGGATCGGGACTCATCGCCGATGCACCGGCGATACATCGAGGATGCATCGGAGATGCACTGGAGACATCGCCGATGCATCGGCGCCATCGGCGTAGACAAATCAGGGCTCCACATCGAGCCGCATCGTCGATTTTCATCGGCGTTGCGGCGAGATCCACCGACCCCATCCGCTGCGACCCATCTGGGAACCCCTAAACACCTCGGGCCCGCCTCAGCGCCCCTCTAACGGGGACTCCACAAACGGGTACTTTGGCCGATGACCCGGCGCACCCAACCCTCCCCAGTGTGGGCAACGCTGCAATGCCAGACAAAGGAACTGACAAGTCAACTTTCGGCAAATCTCCAAAATATCAGTTAGTGAGTACCCGTTACGGTTAGGTCGGGCATGATGTCCTCCTGCAGGCGGATTGTGGACGTACAACAAAAAATAATACAACAAATGCTCAAGCATGGGCCGCAATAGTCAAAGAATCGTCCCGAGAGATTTTCCTATGTTTGCATAACGTTACGGTTCTGCTGACCGCCAGCCCCCCGCGCGGCAGTAAGAAACATGAAGTAGGAAGGCGCTGGAAGTAGATTGGGCTTCCGCCCGCCCCTCGAAGAGGAGGGGAGAGGGAAAGCCGCTCGACTCTTGCAGCAGGAAGGCGCTGAAAGAAGAGTGGGATCTGGGAATCGAAAAATACAAACTTTCAACGACCGATGGGAACCCGTTACGGTGCCGCTGACCGCAATAGAAGAAAACAAACAACGCCATAAGCATAAACTTTTGGCGCTCCTCGCGGAGTTCTTGGAAATGCGCTGGCCCCCCCCTCCCTGGCGCGCGGAGCGCGCCAGGGGCGGCACTGGAGGCGCCGCGGGGGGGGGGCCCAGCGCGGATCGGGTCAAAGAAATCCGCGCGGAGCGGCAAAAGTTTGTGTTTATGGCCTTTTTCTTCTTCTTCGATTAGTGGACCTCCGAGCTGTTAGGTTATGTCATCCTTCGTTCCCCTAAGAACGGAGGCCCCAAAACGGCAACTCTCCACAAATCTCCCAAACATCCGTCTGTGAGTACCCGTTGCGGTGCCGCTGACCTTTGGAATCCCGAAACGGTGCGGTGACAGACGGTGCGGTGACCCCGAAATCACCCAAGACCCCACCGCACGGTCCGTCCACGCACGGTTCTGGGACCTCGGATGCCCCCGTCGCCCGAGGCATCCTCGGAGAACGCCCCGAGTCCCAGAACCGAGCGGTGGCCCCGGAGCCCCACCGACTCACCACACGGTAAGGTCACCACCCCACTTGTTAACGGGCGAAGAACGGTATAACATACACTTTTTCGCCGTCGGGGACGCCTGCCCGAGGGCGGCTGGAAAGTTTATACCCTTACGGTGCCACCGCAAGGGTATAAACTTTCCAGCCGCCCTAAGCTGGGGCAGGTGACCCCGACAGCGAAAAAGTTTATTTTATACCGTTCTTCGCCCGCTGAACGGTGTGGTCACCACCCCGCTTGGGGGCCCCCGATGATGACTGCCTACCAGACCACCCCAACCCAACCCGAAGACCCGAATTTCGGGTTGGGGGGGTAAGGGTTCCACATGTGTGTTTTTCAATGTTTCCCGAACCCCCCCCCCACTGGAAATCGAGGGTAAATCTGAGCCTTCGGGTTGGGTTGGGGTGGTTTGGTGGGTGGTGAGATGACCGGCGGCCCCCCGCGCGGCGCCGGAGCGGATCGTCCGGGCCCACCGGGTCCGTGCCCGGGAGCTCGTCCTCGGCCTGGGCAGGCAGCGGGCGGCGCGGCGGCCCTCTCCGCAGGGGCTGCCCCGCGGCGGCCGCGCCGCCGCCCCGCGGCAGCGCTCATCCTCCTCCCCATCCTCATCTCTCTCCCCCTCCTCCTCCTCCTCCTCCTCCTCCTCCTCCTCCTCCTCCTCCTCCTCCTCATCCTCCTTCCTCCTCCGCCTCCTCCTCCTCCTTCCTCCAACTCCGCCTCCTCCGCCTCTCCCTCCTGCTCACCCTCCGCCTCCTCCTCCTCCTCCTCCGCCTCCTCCTCCTCCGCGGCCAGGCAGAGCCTCGAGGAGCCCGAGGATCGAGCCTGGAGGCCCAGGAACCCTCTGGCGGCGAGCGAGGGGGAGCTTCGGGGAGCCTCGATGGGGCCGAGGATCGAGGAGCCGAGGATCCAGCCTGAAAGCCTCGGAGGAGCCTCGAGGGGCCGAGGATCAAGCCTGGGAACCTCGGAGGAAGAGACAGCGGCATAAAAACATAAACTTTGGGCGCTCCGCGCGGATGTCTTGGATCCGCGCTGGCCCCCCCCTCCCCTCCCTGGCACGCGGAGCGCGTCAGGTGCGGCGCCGGAGGCGCAGGGAGGCAGGCCCAGCGCAGATCCAGGAATCCGCGCGGAGCACCGAATACATATATATGTATATATATATATATATGTTTGTGTCGTCTTCTCTCCTCCGCCTGAAGGACTGGGAAGCCTGAGACCCACGAACATGGCACAATACGAGCAGTGTTGGCACCATACGGTTTATATGTTCATTCCGCAATCAGAGCTTGCCTCTGTGGGGTCCTAGAGGATTCATATGGTTAGGTGAGGTTTGGCGCCAATTTCGGCGGAACGCCTGGGTGCCCGGGTGCCCAGAGGCCCGCGTGCCCGCGTGCCCGGTAGCCCTATAGCCCGATAGCCTTATAGCCCTGTAGCCCTATAGCCCTATAGCCTTATAGCCCTATAGCCTTATAGACTTCAAGCCCTATAGCCCTATTGCCCCGTAGCCCTATAGCCCTAAAAAGATTATGATTGTTTTGTTTCTCCAGTATCCTATCGTTTTCCCTTCTTCGCCTGGACCACTGGGAACCCTGAGACCCATGAGCATTGCACCGCACGACCAGTGGGCGATGGCGGCTCGCGGGACGAGGTGGGCACGACTGGGCATCACAGCCAGCTCAAGATTGAAAGAAGAGGAGGAGGAGGAAGAGCTGGAGCAGGAGGAGTCCCTGGAGTGGACACGAGTGCATCACACCGGGCTCAAGATTGAAAGAGGCATCGTTACCTCATGGTTCATCCTAGCATTGACTTCTCTCCAGGCGTAGCATGCTCTCCCCTCGTTCGCGGAGGGAGGTTTCTCCCTATGTTCGGCCCCTGGGGTCCCTTACCGGGTCTCGGGATCCTGAAGAAGGGGTCGAGACCTCTGGGGTTCGACGTCAAAAGAAAATCATGACGTCGGGGGTCTGGGAACCCTGAGATATCCTCGCGTCCCGAGTCTTTCGAGCTGGGCTCTTTCGCTTGAAATCGGGCCCCAGGGCCCTCGCTGCTCGATCCGACTCGAAAAATGACGCCAAAAAGATGGGGTCCAGGACTCCGGGCGTGACTGTTAACGATCATGTTGTGCTTTTGTTCGCCACGTCGGCTCTCTCTATGGATTGAGATTGGAGGGCTAGGACCACCAGCGGGAGGAGCCGCTGGGGGGGGCCCTGGTGGTTTGCTCCCCCCCGCCCCTCTCGCTCGAGAGACCCCGTAGCCCCAGCTCGGGAACGCATCGCGGGCCTCCTCGCACGACGTGGCCCCCCCCCTCTGGTGGCGGCGGTGTCCACCCCCCCCTCTCCCGAAGGAGCCGCCGCCGCAGCTGCGCGTGCATCGAGGGTCGAGGAAGGGGCGAGCTCGCACATGACGAAGCTCGGACCCAGCCCGCACATGCCGGAGCTCAATCTGCACGAGCACCCCCCAACTGGGGCAGGAAGTCGTCTCGCCAGACCCCATTCGAGGTTTGCGTCACAACTGCTTGAGCCAACACACCTCAGAGGCGTTGAACATTGCACCGCGCTGTGCAAGCTCCCTTGTCGCGGGTCGCATCCGTTCGCTCTCCCGCCTTGCGCTTCTGGCCTCCCCGGTTCCCGTGGGACACCCGTCGGGCACGCGAAGGTACAGGAGGGCAGCGCAAAACAGCTCGCGGGCTGGGGCACGAGCTGCCCGGCAGTGCCGTAGTGCCCGTTGGCCTTGGGCATTGCTCCGTGCAGCAGCGCATCCTTTCCTCTTATTCCGTCGCCCCCGCAGATCCTCGGCGTGTTTCCCCGCTCCTCTCCATGGCGCGTCCCGTCGGGAGCGCGCGCGACATAACCCTGTGCGGGCGATAATGATACCCGGGAGATGATCAAGTTTGGGGGTATGGCGGGAACAATCAACGATTTCCCCGGGGAAGGTGAAGTTATGAGGATGATCATGACGATGGTGATCCTGGGCGCTCGGTGCAAGACTGACCCGAAAGATCTCGATGCTCGTGGCTACAACTTGCCAGCAGGCGCTCATGCTACAACTCCAATGCTCTACCTGCTCGAAAAACGCACGTCACATCACCATCCAATCGGTCCCCATGGCCCTGCCACACGTTCCTGACTCGGGAACGGCTGAGAAACAGAGAATCCCATGGCCCTGCCGCACGTTCGTGGCTGGGCAAACTGAACTGGTGAGAATCCCACAGCCCTGCCACACGCTCGTGATTGCGGAAGCTGACATGGTGAGACCACCATGGTCATGCTCAGCCTGCTTGATGCTGCTGCTAGTCAACATGAGATGATATCAACTTCGATTCGCAACTTCCCCCGTGGAATATCAAGTTCGGCCTCCGCGCCACTATCCACAATTGAATCCTATTGAACGTGGATAAAAAATAGAGGGGGGAGAGGGGGGGTATGTTGCATTATCGCCCGCACGGGGTTAGCCGCTTCTGGTGACGGCCTCGGCTCACCGTCTTACAGCTCACGCCTGCTCAGCACCCGTGTTTTCGATGGATATATATATATATATAGAGAGAGAGAGATGTCACGATGTGAGCTCTGCCTTGCGTTCCAAGCATTGTCTGCTTCAGCTCCGGTGAGCAAAACCATTATTTTGTTGTTTTTTGGGGGGGGAGGGGGGAGTTTTTTGGAGAGGGGGGAGGGTGAGCAAAACCATTCTGGTGAGCAGTACCATTCTGGCCGCGGTGTTCCCTCTGCGTGGGTCGCCCCCCCCAGCGCCCTCGGCCCGATCTGGCCGGGTTCTGGAGCCGCGCGCAGCCGTGGTGAAGAGAGGACCGTCAGAAAACATCCGACAAGAATGCCGAAGCCACAGCCCCGACCACGGGGACGACGACGCCTGCCAGCAAACAATCTGCTCAGGGTCTATTCCTGGACCCCCTGGGGTCCACCCTGCCCAGCTTCTTTCTCACCCCTGGGTCGTCCTCAGACAGCCCCTGGGGCCCGGCACCAGATCCCAGCTCGAGATTGCGAAAATCATGTCTTGACGGCGAGAAGCAATCTTGTACAACCCGCCTCGAAGACATCGAGCACGGCAACTTAGGGGGAACTTGGGGGGGGCAGCTCAGGAGGGGAGCCATCGACCATGAATCGGCAATATGTCGCCTATAGATTGGCAACGTGCCAACGATAACCAGCGAATCCGCAAAGGCGGGCTCGCGGGCCTCCTGGACATCCATCGGCGACTCGCGGGCGATTGGGGGTCGGTGCATACCCCCCTGAGCCGATCCAAGCCTGAAAATGCCCTGTGGTCTTCAGGTCATAACTCGGCTCTCCGGCGGCCGTTCGGGACGATCCGGGCATCCCCAGAACGCTCTCTGCGAGGCGGAGACGCTGGAAGCCATCCCGAGGCTGGCAAATCGCCGAGAACCAGCGAAGGCGTCCGAAACACCGAGGAGACGGAGGAGGAGGAGGAGACGGAGGAGGAGGAGAAGGAGGAGGAGGAGGAGGAGGAGGAGGAGGAGGAGGAAGAGGAGGAGGAGGAGAGCGGAGAGGAACGACGACGACAGCGCTCCACACGCTGGTACGACAGTGTGCGCCCTCCTCGGAGGCGCACGTCCGAAGCGACGGTTCCGCACGACCGCCCCGCGGTGACAATCGTTGCCCGGGCGGCGTGTGCCGCGAGACGTCCGAGCCCGCGCGCCGCGGCCGCGACGGTCCGAGGCCGACACGGCGACCGCGCCCCACGACGACGGCGCCCCACGACGACAGCGCTCCCCGACGAGCAGTTGACACCCCCGGCAGTACCATGGGGCCGCGACGGGCGCGGGCCGCGCGGCGGCCGGGGCGTTGCTCGGCAAGGCGCCACGGCGGCCCAGCGCACTGCACGAGCCAAGGGGGGGGGCGCGGCGGCGGGGGCACCGCTGCGGCGGGGCGCGGCCGCGAGCCACGCCCCGAGCACGTGGACGTGCCTGCATCCGCGCTCTTGCGGTCTGGATTTGAGAAGGGACCGACCGTCCGGGTATTCCTATAGACCTGCCACGAAGTCCTCTTAGAAACCAATATTCCAAGAACACGACAAGACATATGTTATTACAACACAAGCCCGACGTGCTAGAACATGACAGTCTCAGCCAGACATGGTCGAAAGGCATGTCCTGCAGACCACAGACAAATCATTAACACCTTCTTCGATGGGCCTACAGGCAAGCCGGGATTGGGCGCCCGAGTTATCCGGGGTAACTCGGGTCCGGGGTAACTCGGGTTTGGATTCCCGAAAGAGGAACCCGAGTTAGCCCTGACCCGAGCTACCCCTGATGATGTGGGGCTCTAGACGCCCGAGTTATCCGGGGAAACTCGGGTCCAGGGTAAGTCGGGCTCGGATTCCCGAAAAAGGAACCCGAGTTAGCCCTGACCCGAGCTGCCCCTGATGATTCGGGGCTCTGACGGGACGCTTCGCCACTGCCTGATGGATCCGGGGGCGCGATCTCGCGGATGGCGCGCTCGCACGGACGCGCTCCGCGCCGGCCGACACGCTCGCACGCCACGGCTGCGCCGCCGCTGCCGCCGCTGCCGCCAGGCGGCAGAGGGACAGGGGCCTGGAGGGGGAGGAGGATGAGGAGGAGGAGGAGGAGGAGGGGGAGGAGGGGAAGGAGAGGGAGGAGGAGGAGGAGGAGGAGGAGGAGGAGGAGGAAGAAAATGAGGGAGGAGGGGGAGGAGGAGGAGGAGGAGGAGGAGGAGGAGGAGGAGGAGGAGGAGGAGGAGGAGGAGGAGTGCGCAGGATGGAGCGGGGACCGACCGTCCTGGCAGTCCTGATCGGTCTACTACGAGACGTGCTCAGAATGAAAAAGGGGTGCCCCAAACGCAAAGTCCATGTTCTGAGAGCGTGAAGCCGATGCATCAAGCGAAACGTCTCCGCCGCAGCAGCCGTTCTGAAAAACACTTCGTGCAAACCGCAAAAGGTTCTTAGAACACTCTCTGGGATTAGGTCGGGCCTGTCCCCCTACATGGGGATTTTGGGCGAAAAATGAAGATAGTTATTAAAACATGTTCCAAACATGCTCAAACAGATTGGACAAAAAACTTACCCTGACTATTTACACTATTTTTGAATATTCCTCCTGTGCAGGGACGGGCCTGACTAAACGACAGGAAGCACATGTACCCGCCACCACTGTGCCCGGTCAGGGCCGTCATCGGCTCTGGCACAGCGTACACGCCACGCCCTCTCGGCCTTGAACCGGAGGGCCCTACAGTGGGACGCTTCTTTTGCTCAGCGTGTCGTGGCGAAGCGCGGGCCAGGATTCTCAGCGGAACGGCACGCTGCAGCAAAGCTCCCGACAGTATGCACCGTTCAGAGAGCCAGGATGACCATGGCTGGGCTTCGTACTGTGGAGGTGCCTCCTATAAACGTCGAACCTGTAGGCCCGATGCGGGGCCCTTCCTCGCGAGACTACGCGGACAACTCGGGCACTCACATCGGCGCGGTAGATCCACCATGTCCAACGCACCCGCGTGGCAGGAGGCGCGTCTGGAACGTGATCAGAAGTGCTCGGTCGGCACAATGGGGGGGAGGGGAGGGGCACTCGTGATTCTCAGACCTTGCCCGCCCTTTTCGCACTTCTGTGGACCAGTACGGTGTGGTAACAGACCGTGCGTCAAAGGCGGCGGGGCTTCTCAGAAGCCCCGCCACCTTGTGAGAGGTGTTCAGTGTCTTCGCAAGGGGCCACCGCGCGAACGCCAACCTCAGGGGAGGCCGAACGTACCCTAGAACAGACGTGCCCTTGGGGAGGGGGCCTGGGGGCCCACCTCGGGGCACCCAACGGCGACGCCTTTACGCCCACCGCGGCTTGAATCGCGGCCGCTGCGAGACCTCACTGGAGGTACGTCGTCCTGCGGGTACGTTTGGCCCTTCCCAAGAGCCTGTTTGTATATAATCCGCGATAACGGGCTCGAGGAGCGAGGATGTTGTGACTTCGTTCTCGCCTTTGCGGCCTCCCGGTGGCGGACAACAGCGACGACGACGAATTCCTGGGGAACCCTTGATATTCTCAGGAAGCACTGAAAGTTGTCCTAAGACATGCGGGGCAAACAACGTGACGTGATGGGGGGGGGGGGCGGGGGCGATCACGAGCGTTATCGCCTAGACTAAAAAAAAAGCACAGGCTCCAAGAACCACAGGGTGAACCACGGCCGACGAAGGAAAAGAGCGTTTCGTGCACGACGACGCGGCCACCTCACGCGCTGGCTCACGCTGGTCCACACGCACGCGCGCAAGGAGGGAGGCGGGCACGCGCCACACACAGGGGCGGGCAGCTGGCGCGCAGAGGCTCTCGCGCCCGAGGTCGTGTCCGCGCGTCGCTGAGCTCGAAGGAGCCCAGGGACACGCAAATACGTGCACACAAATCCCAGGATCCCCCATGTGTCCCAATCTGTCCTGGGCTCTCGTCTTCCCCCCTCCCCACTTGGCGGGATGCAAATGAGGGGATAAGTCCAGATGGGGAGAGAGGCGCAACCGAGGTACAAAGTGTACCTACGCCCCACGGAGAAGGTACAATTTGTACCGACGCCACGCAGACAAGGAACAAATTGTACTTTTGACCACGTCCGCGACATGTGCGAGGATGTTAACGGGGGGGGAGAAGGTACAATTTGTACTTGCAACCCGCAGAGAAGGTACAACTTGTACCCCAACAAGACGGTACCAAATACCCATCCCCCCATGTCCTGATCCCCCCATCGCCATCCGGCCGACCCACTGCCCACATCTTCCCGCATCTTCCCGGGGGTCGACGAGGAGGTGTGTGCCTCTGTGTGCTATTTCCCTCCCGAGAGGCGAGGGCTGCGCGCGCTCCACGTTTCCCCCGCCGCGGGGCCCGCAGACGCCGACGTGCAGGCTGGTCTTTCGAGCAGGGCACCGCCGACGACGCGGTCGGCCGAGCCCGAGAAGCCTCCGCCCCGTCCACCCCCCTGGGGCTCCACGGGGCGGGCTCCCAGACCTCATCACTCCTCCTCCTCCCCCTGCTCCTCCCCGATCCTGGGTCCCCGAGGATCGAGCCCTTAGGAAGGCGTTGGCCCTCCTCCCCCATCCTCCCCCTGGTCCCCCTCTGCCGCCGTGCCCCCTGCCGCCTCCGCCATGCCCTGCTCCCGCCCTCCGCTGCCGAACATGATCCTCCGCCCGCCCTTCTCCTCCCGCATCCCTCCCCTTGAGAGGGAGGACGGGGGAAGAGAGGCGAAGGGTAGCGCTCCCAATCCGAGGACGGAAAGAAAGCGCCCCCATGGCGCCTACCCCCCCGCCAAACGGCAGGTGGGTTCAGGGCCCCGAACGGAGGATGTCATGATGCGAAAGGCCCAAGATGCGTTCCAAGAGTTTCAGAACACCTAGCGGCTCTCGTATGTGCAGTCCGAGTGGAACCATCGGGAGTCCCTGGGACAAACGCTGGCAACCGTGGCCGAGTTGGAACATGACACCGCGAAAAAGTCATGACTCCCTGTTGCCTCGACTCGCCCCCTTCCTGCACGCCACGTCCTCGTGGCTCCCAGCTCCCTGGCGGCTCCTCGCTGCTCCCTCCACCTGCAGAGTCTTGCCGGGCCAAATCGTCCCGTGCCGCCCTCCCCGCCCTCCAACCTCCAGTCGGGGCGTTGACCTACGGAACCCTAAATAAGGAACGAGGCCCCTCCTTTCCCATAAGTTAAACTTCGATTATCCATCGAACACCTTGGGAAAACCTCAGGCAAGCTGTGAAACAATCAAGGAAGGCGGAGCCCCTCCCCAACGAAAAGGGTTCCTTCTTCAGGACCCCTACTGTACATTCCCTCCCTCCCCTCCGCAAGGAGGCCCTCGGGACGACGGGTCTCCTCGGCGAGTGGGCATCGGGCGGTCGTAGGCTGCACTTGTGGATCGGCGCGGGAGCCGCCTCCCTGCGGCGCGGAGCGCGCCAGGGAAAAGCGCTCGAGGTGCTGCCGGGGGGGGGGCTCCAGCACAGATCCACTCCTTCCGCGCTGAGCTCGCCGCTCGCCCAAGAAACGCCGCCCACCCTCGGCCCGACTGCCGCGCGGAGAGGAGCACCCGATCTGGAGGACCGCCCGCACGGATGCCGACGCGCCTCGAGGACCCGTCGCCCCGAGGGCCTCGACCCCAGGAGGGCGGAGCTGAGGTGACGGAGCACGGGGAACGAGGAGAGCGTGCAGCAGCCGCCACCGTGCTTCTGTAGAGGCCTTCTAAATTGGGTCGGAGTAGATGGGGTCGGAGGATCGCGCCGCATCGGCGATACATCGGCGATGCATCGGCGATGCATCCGCGACGTAGGCGTGGAGAAAATCGGGCTCCGCATCGAGCCGCATCGTCGATGCATCGGCGAAGCGGCGCGAGACTTCCGACCCCATCTACTCCCTACCACCATCAAGAGGCCTAGATTCCTGGGCGCGAGCGGGCGCGTCCCTCCGGGCCCTCTGCTCGCCTGCCCTGGGAATCGCAGTCCCCCGACCGGGGGGCCTCTCTATATCGGAGGAGGTAGGAAGGAGAAGGAAGGATGAGGGAGGAGGAGGGTTGAGTATGAGGAGTAGGAGTAGGCGGAGGAAAGGAAGGAGGAGTGGGGCGTGAAGGTAGGATAATGGAAGCATAGCGGAGGGAGGAGGAGGAGGAGGAGGAGGAGGAGGAGGAGGAGGAGGAGGGAGGAGGAGGAGGAGGAGGAGGAGGAGGCGGAGGAGGAGGGAAGAGGAGGAGGAGGGGCGTGGCGCGTGCCCCCCCCCTCTCCCGGGCCGCGGCGCGCCTCCCCGCGTGGCCTGTCGGGCCCCAGGGGGGGGGGGGCCCGAGACGGGCCGATGGGGGCCCCGAGAGGCCCGCAGCAGAACTGTCCTAAGAATATTCCGTAGAAACCGCAAACGGTTCTTAGAGCACTGCTTGGCAGGACTGAGGCACGCCGGGACGCTCTGCCACTGCTTGATGCTGGTGATCCAAGCCAGAAAGGGCACGACTCCAACCGGCCAGCGGCGGCGGCCGAGACGCCCAGAGATCGGCCCAAGACGCCCAGAGATGGCCTCACAACGGCCCGAGAAGGCCTCTAACACGCCCCAAGAGGCCTCGAAGAGGCCTCCGAAGAGGGCCCCAAGAGGCACACGGCACTGCTGTTCCGAACAGGGGGGGGGGCACATGTTTGAAGGATTCTGGCGTTCTCGCCTTGTCGGCTTTCCGACGCTCCAAGACGGCTCAAGATGCCCCCAAGACCACGCCGAAACGGCCCAAGAGGCCTCGGAGAGGACCCCAAGACGGCCTAAGATCGTCCCAAGATGGCCCAAGTGCCCAAGTGGGCCCCAGAGAGGGAACACGAACCGAACATCCGAGCCTTCCGCCCCAAGAGGCCCCCAGGAGGCCCCAAGACGCGCCAAGGAGACCCCAACCCCAGAGGCCCCAAAGAGGCCCAAAAGTCGCCCTGAAACGGCCCCCAAGAGGCGCCCAAACTGCCTCCAAGAGGCTCCCGAGAGGCCTCCCACGAAATCCCCCCGAGCATCCAATAGCCTTAATACCTGCAACGCAAGCGCGGTGGCGGGAAGGGCTGAAGACAATTTGTCCTGGGCCGTCACGGGATCGGAAAGAGCGTTTCAGCAACCTGCCCGAGGTGGCTCATGGCACCCTTCGCTCTTGAGAGCCTTGGTGTTAGGAGCTTGTTGCGTCACCGCTCGTTATTGGGAGCCTTGCTGGTAAGCGCGTGTTACGTCACCGCTCTCTGTTGGGAGCCTTGCTGGGAAGAGCTTGTTGCGTCACCGCTCTCTGCTCAGAATCGTCGTGCTCAGAGATGCTTACGTTACCGCTCGCTCCTTGGAGCCTTGGTGGTAAGAGCTTGTTGCGTCATCGCTCGCCGTTGGGAGCCTTGCTGGTGTGCGCGTTCGGAGTCCTCGTGCCCAGAGATGCTTACGTTGCCGCTCGGTCTTGGGAGCCTTGGTGGTGAGATCTTGTTGCGTCACCGCGCGTTCTTGGGAGCCTCCTCCTAAAACCTCCTCCTCCTCCTCCTCCTCCTCCTCATTCTCCTCCTCCTATTTGGGGCGGGTCCGTCTGGGGGGCCTCTTGGACCGTTTTGGGCTCCTTTGGGGCGCCTCTGGGGCCGTCTTGGGACGATCTTGGGGGCCTCGTGGGCCGTCTGGGGCCCGTGGGGACTGAAAAGGGGAACACTCGAAACACCTACAAAAACCTAGGGAAAGCAATGCTTGTGGGACTCCTTGGCCGTCTTTGGGCCAGCCCAGTCCCTGCATCCAAGCAGCCCAGACTCCATACCGCCTCTTCGGGCCCGCTTGGGAGCCCCTTGAGGCCCTCTTGGGGCCGTTTGGGGGCCCTCTTGGGCCGTCGTGGGGTCCTCATGGGCAGTCTGGGGGACCTCTTGGACCGTTTTCGGCCACTTTGAGGGGCCTCCTCTGGGCCCGTCCTGGGACGATCTTTGGGGCCTCTTGGGCCGTCTTGGGCCCGCCTGGGGGCCCTCTTGGACCGTTTTGGGCCCCTTTTGGTGCGCCTCTGGGACCGTCTTGGGACGATCTTGGGGACCTCTTGGGCCGTCTGGGGCCCTTCCGGGACTGACAAGAGGAGAAGCCGAAAAATCTACACAAACCATACAACAAATCATGTTGTTAGCCTCCTCAAGCCCCCTCGGAGGCACTCTTGCGGGCCTCTGGAACCGTCTCGACACTCCCTTGGACCGTCTGGAGGCCATCTGAAGCTCTCTTGCGGCCGTTTTGGGGCACTCTGAAAAAGGTTTGGGACCCTCTTAGGCCGTCTTGGGGCCCTCTGGCCGGTTCGCCCCAAAAGATACAAAGAAACAGGCCATGGGAGCCGCCCAGGAGCCGCTTCACTCGAAAAATACAAAGGGAAAACGAGCCATTAGACCATCCTACGCCCGCCTCGCCCCTCCCCTGGACCCCTCCCTAGAGGGCTTCGCCCCAACTCAGCGTACATCACTCGTACCTCGCTCTTTCCGTCACCTGGACCGGCAAGGGACGGAACTTGCCCGAGATGGCTCACGGCACCCTTCGCTCTTGGAAACCTTGGTGATAAGAGCTTGTCACGTCACCGCACGCTCTTGGGAGCCCTGTTGTTCAGAGACTTTCAAGTTGCCTCTCGCTCTTGGGAGCCGTGGAATTGAGTTGTTTACGTCACCGTTCGCTCTTGGGATCCTTGGTGTTACGAGTTTGTCACGTCACTGTTCGCTGTTGAGAGCCTTGGTATGAAGAGTTGTTGCGTTACCGATCGCTCTGCTATTTTGCGTCTCTCGGACTTATTAGGAATCTTTGGGGGGCCCTTCTGGGGCCCTTTTGGACAGTTTGGGTGCCCTTTTGAACCGTCTTGGGGCCCTTTTGGGCCGTCTAGGGGCGTCTTGGAGGCCTTGGACCGTCTTGGGGCTCTGTTGGCGGCCTCTTGGGGCCCTCTCGGGAGCCTCGTGGGGCCTCTTGCAGCGTTCCTGGGGCAGTGTTGGGGCCCTTTTGGGCCGTTCACTGTTTTGGACCGCGCAACAACAGAAAAGGCGGATATGATGAATATGTACGCTTCTCCGTAGAATTTGACGACTTGTGCCTCATTAGCGCCCTCTCCGGGCCCTCTCGGAGCGTCGTTGGGGCCTGGGCCGCCTTGGAGCCGTCTTCAAGCGTCTTTGGAGAATCTTGAACCGTTTCGGGACAAGCTGAAGCTGTCTTTGGGCACTCCTGGGCCGACTCGGGGACCTCTTGGACCGTTCCCAGCCCCTTTGGGGGGCCTCTGAGGCCGTCTTGGGACGATCTGTGGGGCCTCTTGGGCCGTCTTGGGGCCCGTCTGGGGGCCCTCTTGGACCGTTTCAAGCCCCTGGGGCCTCTTGGGCCGTCTGGGGCCCTCCTGTACCTGGAAAGGGGAGAACCCCAAAAAACCTACACAAACCTTACGGAAATCAATGTTGTTAGCCTTCTCAGGCCCTCTCGGAGGCCCTCTGGAGGGCCTCTGGAGCCGTCTGGAGGCTCTCTTGGACCGTTTGGAGGCTATATAAAGCTCTCTTAGGACCGTCTTGGTGCCCTCTTGGGCCGTTCTGTGGCCCTCTTGGGCTGTCTTGGAACCCTCTGGCCGCTTCTCTAGAATAAAAAGGAAACAGGCCATGGGAGCCGCCCGGGAGCCGCTTCACTCGAAAAAATACAGAGGGAAACGGCCCCCCGGCTGGCCAAACACAGGAACATTCAGCACCTACCCCTCCCTCTGCACTCCCCCTAGGGAGGCGCGAGCGCCCAACTCAACGTACAGTGCTAGTATCTCGCTCTTTCCGTCACACACCTCTGAGCGGGAGGAGGGAAGGATGGAGGAGGATGGCAGCAGGAGAGGAGGGAGGGAGAGTGGCAGCAGGGACGAGATAGCAGCGGGGGGAATCGTGGGCAGAAAGGACAGGGAGGGAAGCTGGCGGACATCTCTCCCTCCCTCCCTCCGCCACCCTCCCCCTCCCATCACCCTTCAGCCTCGTACTCCTCAAACTGCTCCACCTTGCTACTCACACCCCCATCTACTCCATCTCCCCCCCCATTCTCCCCACCGATCCCTCCTCCTCATCCCACTTCCTGCCCCCCTCCTCCTCCAACTCCTCCTCCTCCTCCTCCTCCTCCTCCTCCTCCTCCTCCTCCTCCTCCTCCTCCTCCTCCTACTCCTAACTCTTCCTCTCCTCATCCTCCTCCTCCTCCTCCTCCTCCGCCTTCTCCTCCTCCTCCTCCCACCTCCCACCCTCCCACCAATGCCACCTCCCACCTCACACCATCCACCTCCCACCTCCCACCATCCCTCCTCTACCCTCTCCCTCCTACCCTCCACCCTCCCCCTCCTCCTCGACCTCCTCCTCCTCCGCTCCCTCCTCCCTCCTCCCTTCTCCCTCCAACCTTTCCTCCCTCCTCCCACATCGCCCTCGCCTCCTCCTCCTCCCTCCTCCCTCCTCCCTCCTCCTCCTCCCTCCTCCTCCCCTCCCTTCTCCCTCTTCCCTCCTCCTTCCTCCCCCCTCCCTCCTCCATCCTACATCCTCCCTCCCTCCCTCCCTCCCTCCTCCCTCCCTCCCTCCTCCTCCTCCCTCCCTCCCTCCTCCCTCCTCCCTCCTCCCTCTTCCCACCTCCCTCCTCCCACCTCTCTCCTCACTCCTCCCTCCTACCCTCCCTCCCTCCCTCTCTCCTCCTCCGCTCCTCTCTCCTCCTCCTCTCCCTCCTCCTCACTCCACCACCACCTCCTCCTCGTCCTCCTGCTCCCCTGCTCCCTTCTCCTCCTCCCCCTCCTCCGCTCCTCCTCCTCCTCCTCCTTCACACTCCTCCTCACTCCTCCTCCTCCTCCTCCTCCTCCTCCTCCTCTTCCTCCTCCCATCCATTCTCCTCCCGTCCCTCCTTGTCGCTCCACCCCCTCTCCCCTCTCTGGACGGCCTTGTCGACCGCTCGAGCGTCCCTCCCCTCGCGAGCCTGGACACGCGACCGAAGGCCGGCGGCGCGACGGCATGCCGGCACGGGTGCCGAGAACGGCAAGAGCTGCACAACCACGTACTCTTCCTATAGGGCGACGAGATCTGTTCACGTCCACTGCCGCTGCTAGGCTTAGGTCGGGCATGTCCTTCTACAGGCAGACTTGGGACGACAAGTAAAACATTGTCAAAATATATGTTCAAAAATGGTCAAAACAATTTGTTCCCCACATGCTTCGTGGGGTTCTGGTTTTCTTCCCTGCCGCGCCGCACCCGCGACACACACCTCACACTTCGTACAGCACAGCTCAACACAGCACAGCACAGCACAGCACAGCACAGCACAGCTCAGCTCAGCACAGCACACAGCTCAGCTCAGCTCAGCACAGCCCAGCACGGCTCAGCTCAGCACAGCACAGCTCGTGGCACTTTCTCGACACCACAGGGGGTGCGCAGGGGTTGGTCTCTCAGCTCGGCCGCTATACACGACACTGGCGCAAAGCCTAGCAGGCGTGGCACCCTCTCGACACCAAAGGGGGCGGGCAGGGGGTGGTCTCTCAGCTCGGCCGCTATCCACGACACTGGCGCAAAGCCTAGCAGGCGTGGCACTTGCTCGACACCACAGGGGGTGCGGAGGGGGTTGTCTCTCAGCTCGGCTGCTATCCACGACACTGGCGCAAAGCCTAGCAGGCGTGGCACTCTCTCGACACCAAAGGGGGTGGGCAGGGGGTGGTCTCTCAGCTCGGCAGCTATCCACGACACTGTCGCAAAGCCTAGCAGGCGTGGCACTTTCTCGACACCACAGGGGGTGCGCAGGGGGTGGTCTCTCACCGCGGTCCCTATCCACGCCACGGTCGCACAACCTAGCAGGCGTAGCACTTTCGCGACACCACAGGGGGTGCGCAGGGGTTGGTCTCTCAGCTCGGCCGCTATCCACGACACTGGCGCAAAGCCTAGCAGGCGTGGCACTTTCTCGACACCACAGGGGGTGCGCAAGGGGTGGTCTCTCAGCTCGGCCGCTATCCACGACACTTGCGCAAAGGCTAGCAGGCGTGGCACTTTCGCGACACCACAGGGGGTGCGCAAGGGGGTGGTCTCTCAGCTCGGCCGCTATCCACGACACTGGCGCAAAGCCTAGCAGGCGTGGCACTTTCTCGACGCCACACGGGGTGCGCAGGGGGTGGTCTCTCGGCTCGGCCGCTATCCACGACACTGGCGCAAACCTAGCAAGCGTGGCACTTTCTCGACACCACAGGGGGTGCGCAGGGGGTGGTCTCTCAGCTCGGTCGCTATCCACGACACTGGCGCAAAGCCTAGCAGGCATGGCACTTTCTCGACACCACAGGCGGTGCGCAAGGGGTGGTCTCTCAGTTCGGCCGCTATCCACGACACTGGCGCAAAGCCTAGCAGGCGTGGCACTCCCTCGACACCACAGGGGGTGCGCAGGGGGTGGTCCCTCAGCTCGGCCGCTATCCACGACACTGGCGCAGAAGGCTAGCAGGCGTGGCGCTTTCTCGACACCACAGGGGGTGCGCAGGGGGTGGTCTCTCAGCTCGGCCGCTATCCACGACACTGGCGCAACGCCTAGCAGGCGTGGCACTTTCTTGACACCACAAAGGGGTGCGCAGGGGGTGGTCTCTCAGCTCGGCCGCTATCCACGCTTCGCGACACCACAGGGGGTGCGCAAGGGGTGGTCTCTCAGCTCGGCCGCTATCCACGACACGGGCGCAAAGCCTAGCAGGCGTGGCACTTTCTCGACACCACACGGGGTGCGCAGGGGGTTGTCTCTCAGCTCGGCCGCTATCCACGACACTGGCGCAAAAGGCTAGCAGGCGTGGCACTTTCGCGACACCACAGGGGGTGCGCAAGGGGTGGTCTCTCAGCTCGGTCGCCATCCACGACACTGCCGCAACGCCTACCAGGCGTGGCACTCTCTCGACACCACAGGGGGTGGGCAGGGGGTGGTCTTTCAGCTCGGCCGCTATCCACGACACTGGCGCAAAAGGCTAGCAGGCGTGGCACTTTCGCGACACCACAGGGGGTGCGCAGGGGGTTGTCTCTCAGCTCGGCCGCTATCCACGACACTGGCGCAAAGCCTAGCAAGCGTGGCACTTTCTCGACACCAAACGGGGTGGGCAGGGGGTGGTCTCTCAGCTCGGCCGCTATCCACGACACTGGCGCAAAGCCTAGCAGGCGTGGCACTTTCTCGACACCACACGGGGTGCGCAGGGGGTGGTCTCTCAGCTCGGCCGCTATCCACGACACTGGCGCAAAGCCTAGCAGGCGTGGCACTTTCTCGACACCGAAGGGGGTGGGCAGGGGGTGGTCTCTCAGCTCGGTCGATATCCACGACACTGGCGCAAAGCCTAGCAGGCGTGGCACTTTCTCGACACCACAGGGGGTGCGCAGGGGATGGTCTCTCAGCTCGGCCGCTATCCACGACACTGGTGCAAAAAAAAAGGCTAGCAGGCGTCACTTCCGCAAACCTAGCAACCGTGGCACTTTCTCGACACCACAGGAGGTGGGCAGGGGGTGGTCTCTCAGCTCGGTCGCTCTCCGCGACACCTGTCGCAACGCCTAGCAGGCGTGGCACTTTCTCGACACCACAGGGGGTGGGCAGGGGGTGGTCTCTCAGCTCGGCCGCTATCCACGACACTGGCGCAGAAGGCTAGCAGGCGTGGCGCTTTCTCGACACCACAGGGGGTGCGCAGGGGGTGGTCTCTCAGCTCGGCCGCTATCCACGACACTGGCGCGAAGGCTCGCAGGCGGGGCACTTGCGCGACACCACAGGGGGTGCGCAGGGGGTGGTCTATCAGCTCGGTCGATATCCACGACACTGGCGCAAAGCCTAGCAGGCGTGGCACTTTCTCGACACCACACGGGGTGCGCAAGGGGTGGTCTCTCATCTCGGCCGCTATCCACGACACTGGCGCAAAGGCTAGCAGGCGTGGCACTTTCGGCCGCTATCCACGACACTGGCGCAAAGGCTAGCAGCCGCTATCCACGTGGGCAAACCTTTGCAGGCGTGGCACTTTCTCGACACCACAGGGGGTGCGCAGGGGGTGGTCTCTCAGCTCGGCCGCTATCCACGACACTGGCGCAAAGCCTAGCAGGCGTGGCACTTTCTCGACACCACAGGGGGTGCGCAGGGGGTGGTCTCTCAGCTCGGCCGCTATCCACGACACTGGCGCAAAGGCCTAGCAAGCGTGGCACTTTCTCGACACCACAGGGGGTGCGCAGGGGGTGGTCTCTCAGCTCGGCCGCTATCCACGACACTGGCGCAAAGCCTAGCAGGCGTGGCACTTTCTCGACACCACAGGGGGTGCGCAGGGGGTGGTCTCCCAGCTCGGCCGCTATCCACGACACTGGCGCAAAGCCTAGCAGGCGTGGCACTTTCTCGACACCACAGGGGGTGCGCAGGGGGTGGTCTCTCAGCTCGGCCGCTATCCACGACACTGGCGCAAAGCCTAGCAGGCGTGGCACTTTCTCGACACCACAGGGGGTGCGCAGGGGGTGGTCTCTCAGCTCGGCCGCTATCCACGACACTGGCGCAAAGCCTAGCAGGCGTGGCACTTTCTCGACACCACAGGGGGTGCGCAGGGGGTGGTCTCTCAGCTCGGCCGCTATCCACGACACTCTAGCAGGCGTGGCACTTTCTCGACACCACTGCGCAGGGGGTGGCTCAGCTCGGCCGCTATCCACGACACTGGCGCAAAGCCTAGCAGGCGTGGCACTTTCTCGACACCACAGGGGGTGCGCAGGGGGTGGTCTCTCAGCTCGGCCGCTATCCACGACACTGGCGCAAAGGCTAGCAGGCGTGGCACTTTCTCGACACCACAGGGGGTGCGCAGGGGGTGGTCTCTCAGCTCGGCCGCTATCCACGACACTGGCGCAAAGGCTAGCAGGCGTGGCACTTTCTCGACACCACAGGGGGTGCGCAGGGGGTGGTCTCTCAGCTCGGCCGCTATCCACGACACTGGCGCAAAGCCTAGCAGGCGTGGCACTTTCTCGACACCACAGGGGGTGCGCAGGGGGTGGTCTCTCAGCTCGGCCGCTATCCACGACACTGGCGCAAAGGCTAGCAGGCGTGGCACTTTCTCGACACCACAGGGGGTGCGCAGGGGGTGGTCTCTCAGCTCGGCCGCTATCCACGACACTGGCGCAAAGGCTAGCAGGCGTGGCACTTTCTCGACACCACAGGGGGTGCGCAGGGGGTGGTCTCTCAGCTCGGCCGCTATCCACGACACTGGCGCAAAGCCTAGCAGGGAACATTCGCGACGAGGGCCCAGAACGCAGGATTGTGCATATATATATATATATATTATACATAAGCGAACACATCAGATTTAAATTCAGTATGTGGGGTTCCTCGGTAGCGTAATTTTGGACAAATCGTCCCCCGGCTATGTTTGGACTGTGTTTGATACTCCTCATGTAGAGGAACAGCCCGACTTAATGCTAGGCCACTCCTGGGTCCAGGAGCGGTGTTATGCGCCCTCCTGGCTTGCCCAGGGAGGCATAGCCACCGCTCCTGGGCCCAGGGATGGGCCGGGAAGGGCCCGGCCAGCGGTGGTGGATACGATACGTACACAGTCAGCACGCGTGAGAAGGACGCGCGACAAGGATGCAGGGGCCTTGGGAGGCCACGTGGAGGTTCTTCCAACGGGGCTGGCCAGCGAGAGTGGCCAAGGATGGGACGAAGCGAAGGGGCAAGGATGCAAGGGTAACCTTGAAGATCGCTCATCCCTGAGATCCGAGGTAGCAAGAATTGCAACATCGTGCAAAATCACACCTGGAGCCCTAGACACCATCTTGCTGAGTCGTTTTCGAGCCGGATCGATCTGCGAGGGCCCCAGGGCACGCACACAAGACGACAACGCCCAGCTCGGGAAAAATCGAGACGCCAAGATCTCAAGGATAGATCTCGCCGCCCAATTCTGTCTGGAATGCAGGCAGTCTCTGCGCTATCGCATGGGTTGAAATGAAATGCCTTAGACGCTCAGTCTGGGGACCGTCCCAGAGCCACTGGCTCCTGTCATGCGTCGAAGCTTCGTCGAACGTCCGTCGCCTGGAGTCGAACTTGAGCCGAGCCTGAGTCGAAACTGAATTGAACCCGAATCAAACATGAATGGAACTGCATAAGGAGCTGGGATCGAGTAAGAGTCGAACAGATCCGTTACATGCAGGGAGCCTACAAAAGACGTACGCGCCCAGCCATGTACATGAACACGGCCCCCCCCATCAGCGAGACGGCCGCGTGGCACGAGCGCTCGCGCAATGCGTACTCTCGAAGGCAAGGTGGACTCATGTGCGTGTACGTCCTTTCTTCGCCCCTGGAGACGTGGACCTAAGCCGAACCTGAGTCGAACCTGAACTGGAAATGACTCAGGGGGCCCAAGGACACACAAATAAAGACACACAAACAAAAAGGATTCCCCATATGTTCCCATATTTCCTGGGTTTCTGTCTTCCCCCCCACTTGCCATCATTTTCCAATCTTTTCTGGGGAATCGACGACTCATTGTGTCTGTGTGCTGTTTCCCCTCCTGAATGATCGGAGGCCAAGCGAAGGCTCCCCGCCCAGCCGCCGAGCGGAACCGGCGCCGACCCGGGACACCGAGCTACAGAGAGCCGGAGCAGGGGCGCGGCCGGTCCGCCTATGAGGTGGGCCCCGGGAAGGCCTCCCGGACGAGCATCTTGATGCGGGCGATATGTATATATCCATACCCAATACACGTCGGTCGGAAGAAGTGGGTAGAAACATGAAGTAGGAAGGCGGATAAAGTGGATTGGGTCCAGGCCCTCCCAGAGAACCACAAAACACAGCAAAGTCATGCCGATTCTTGAAGTAGGAAGGCACTTGAAGTAGACTGGGATCTGGGAATCCAAAAATACCTACTTTCAACGACCGGCGTGTGCGTCTTGGACTTTCTTGGAGTGGGGACCGCAAGGCAGAGGCGCACTGGATGTGGATAAAAGTCGAGCCTCCATAGGGGGCAGACACCTATCCATATCCAGTGCGCCTTCGGTTGCTGGGGAAGGGAGCCCGAAACTCCAAGCTGCAGTGGACGTGGACAAAAGTATTGCCCGCACTTGAGCCCCGTGCTCTCGCACAGGTTGAAATGGCACGCCGGCCCCTTTCGGGCGGCCGTCCCGCTCCCCCCCCGCCCCAGGCCCCTCCCCCGCGTGGGCCGCCCGACCGCTGCCGCGCCTCCTGGGCGGAGGCAGGCGCAGCTGCCGAAGCGTTGCCCCCGATCCTCCTCGACCCCTCGAGGGTCGAGGCGGGATCTGTCGGACGCCGCTCGAACGAATACAACATCGATCCAGAGCGATGGTGAGGGCCCCGCGGGCCCGAGACTGGGCGAAGGCTCCCCTTGCGCAGAACAAAAAACGCTGCGCCGGGACCTCAGGGGCCCTCACGGCCCGCCCTCCCCCGAAGCCCGCTGCGAAGGACCGGCCCCTGGCCAGCGAGCGCAGCGCAGCCCGCGGGCACGGCCGCCTGTCGGCGGCGGAGGAGGAGGAGGAGGAGGAGGAGGAGGAGGAGGAGGAGGCGGGACTGCTCAGAGCCCCCCCGCGCCTTCCGAGACGTTCCCTGCGTCTCCGGGGAAGGCGCAGAGAGTCTCCCAGAAGGCCAGGGGACGTCCGAGCCTTCTGAGAAGGCCTGCTCCTTCTCCCTCCCCTGATTGGCCGATTTCCCACCACCACTACCATAGGTAGGAGGAGGAGGAGGAGGAGGAGGAGGAGGAGGAGGAGGAGGAGAAGAAGGAAGAGGAGGAGGAGGAGGAGGAGGAGGAGGAGGAGGAGGACCTCCCCATCCTCCCTTCTCCCCCATCCTACTTGTGGAAGGGGTCTCAGACCCCCGACGTCATTGTCTTCTCATGACGCGCCCCCTGGAGGTCCAGACCAATTCCCCGGGACCAGTTTCTCCTCCTGAGTCGATTTTTGACGGTCCCGAGGCCCAGCGAGGCCCCCCGGAGGCCGAAACTAGCGAAAAATCTCCCGTCGTGCTTTTGCTTTTGGTCATGACTCGAGAGGGTCTGGGGTGATGGAAGATCGGCCCATCGTGCAAAGCCCGAGCCTCGGCACGAGCGATCGCCGCCGCGGGGGCGGAGCCCCTGGCGTGCCACGGAGGGCGCGCGCCCTCGGGCCCCGCGGTCCGCGCGCGGTGGCGGGCGCAGCGGGTGCCTGCGGGCGCGTGCCCCGTTTGGCGGCGCGCATAAGAGGGGTGGAGGGGCCCTGGAAACGACAGGGCGTTTTTATAGAGGGGGAGGGCTTCTTATAGAAGGAGGCTGCTTCTTAGAGGGCGCCAGCCTTACACCTACAGATGAGACCCGCGCCTTCTCAGAAGCAGGGGTGCTTCCAAGAGGCCCTCCCCCCTCCCCCCACCCCCCTCAGTCCGTGGCTGACCTGTGTCCCAAGGTGCCCCCAGGATTTCCAAAGAGGCTCAAGTCGGGCAGGTCCCTCCAGGAGGGATATTCAGAAAGAGTAACAAACAACATCTTGGGGTGATGTTTCGACTATTTGTTTGATCTGCGTGTGTGTGTGTGAATATGTTTTGGATATGTTTCGCTTTTCTTCCCGAATCCGCATGCAGGAGGACATGCCCGACCTAAAAGGAGGCCCCACTAGCAGGGGATACGCCGACCCCTATCCCAGGCTTCGTGGGGATTGCGAATGGACCAAAAGTGCGGGGCCCAACCCTGGGATATTCCTCGATAGGGGTGCGTCCGAATAGCCCACTTGGTGTGTATCCCAGGGCCCCCCTCCTTTTCTGAGCGGCTTCACTGTGCGTCAAAGAATCCGGGGCCAGGGGAAAAACGTCGCCTGCGACCCACGGCTTCCAAAGAACACTTCACGAGATCACTTGAGCAGGGACCGACCGTCCCGGAATTCCTCTAGGCCTACCACGACATGTCTTCGAACCCAAACATGTCCTACCAAAAACATTGTCTCATAACATAAGCCCGATGTGTTAGAACAAGACAGTCTCAGCCAGAAATGTTCTGAGAACGTCTCGCGCAGACCACACAAAAGGTTCTCTGGACCATCCCTTGGTGGGCCTACAGGCAAGCCAGGACGCCTCGCCACTGCTTGACCCAGGGCCCCACCACGGCGCGCAAGCACCCTTGGGGAAACCCAAGGGTACCGATACCGCTACTCCCCAGACGTCTCCTGGGGTGCGTCCTAACCAGGATTCCGAGGCGAATCCAGCGGTGGCGACGAGGGCCGCCCAGGAGGCCCAACAAGGGGACAACGAGGAAACGGTAGAGGTATGGGTACCTTTTCCCTCCTCTGAACCCTGGGCCTGGGCCACCTTTCCGCAGCACCCGAGGCCCGTGTTGGCGTCGGCGCCGCGCCGACGGGCGCTCCGGAGGCCCACCCCGAGACCCCGCCCAGCCGGTGGTAGCGAGAGGCGCCGCGCGCAGGTGGCCGTCCCGGCCCGCGCGGAGAGCGCACGCTGCGACTGCCCCCGAGGGGGGCGGGCAAAAAAACGCAGATCTTGCGGTCCTCCGCCTTTGCGGGGGTGGACTGGCGCGTGAGCTCCTCTTCTTCCCCCTCCTCCTCCTCCTCCTCCTCCTCCTCCTCCTCCTCGTCCTCCTCCTCCTCCTCCTCCTCCTCCGCCTCTTCCTCCTCCTCCTCCGTCTGGCCCGAATCTGGAGACATGGAATTCGCACCCTGAAGAGGCACGAATCTCAAGATCGGCGCGAATTCGGGGGAGGGCTGGGGACTCTTCAGCACGCCCCCTGGCGAGGCCTTCCTGTGCGCCTCCTCGGCCCGCTGCTGCTCTGGGCCCTCCCGAGGCCCCCCATCACGCCTCAGCCCCCTGGTCCTCCTGCTGCCCCAACGCCCACCGATGTGTTCACGAGGTGGGCCCTGTGGCGTTGCACCTCCCTCCTGGGGCAAGCGTTCCGCGGCAGATCGAATTGCAGTCCCCAAGAGAAGGAACAGCAGAAACCGGAACCCATGACACCAACCAGTAAAGCATGTTGGCCAGCGCGGCCCCCAGCACAGCAGGTCAGTGCAAGGCAGGTAGGTAGGCTGTGCAATGCAAGCTGCATGGTGCAAGTTATGGGGTGCAAAGTATGCGAGGCGAGGTATGTTGAGTAAGCTATGTAGGGCCAGTGATCTGATTGATGTGATGTGTTGTAAGCTGGGTGGCGTGGTGCAGGCTATGCGGGAGAAGCGCTGCAGTGCGATAGGGGTGCAGACGCACACAAAACGCATACATGTACATAGGTACATACACACATGTGGACATACCTACATACAGACATACATGCAGACATGCATGCATGCATGCATACATGTGTGCATGCATGCGCGCATGCATCCATGCACGCGGGCAGATGTACATTCATGTGCACATACACATGCAAACATATATGCAAATATGTAAACATGCATACCTACACATACACACGTACCTACATGCATGCAAACATAAACACACACACGCACATTCATACCGGCATACATATAACGGTGCCCCCCCCGCATGGTCACACATTTCAAACTGTTCGTAGTGGTAACCGTGCTATTGTTCGGTCAGTTCGTATTCATATTATTGTACATAGTTTCACGACGTGTTTTGCGCTGGCCATATCAGCAGATTCCTCGCGAGCTGCGGCCGCTTGTGTTCCTTCCTCTGATGAGGAGAACGCGGATGAGGAGGTGGAGGAGAAAAAGGAGGACGGGGAGGCCGAGGAAAGCGCAGGAGCAGGAGCAGGAACGCGCAGGCAGGATGGAGGAGAAGGAAAGCGGCGTAAGCAAACCCTTCTTGAAAACACAAGAATCCCTGATATGTTTGAAAAAAAACATGGCAAACATACACATATCATTGGTCATGTTGGGGATGTCCGTGAAGAAGCCCTGTGAACGCACGGCTGTTCCTGATAGTGTCACGTTTCCTGGATACGGACGCGCTGCAAGGAGGTTTGGGGGGGGCAAGAAGAGGGGGGGCGCCCAACCTCGCGTGGCTTCCAAACGGCACCTCTAATAATATCAATCATCAAGTGTTGTCTAACGGGTGCCTCACGCAGGCCAACAATATTTGTGTATTTTCACCAGGCTTCCGTACCATAACGGAAACGATCTGTTCCAGCACGTGCTCCGAAAACAAACCAAAACCCAACCAACCAAACCTTCACAGCGATTCCTTGCGCCGGGGGCGCAAGGAGGTGAGCGATGACGAACACGAGGAACAGGAGGAGGAGGGAGACGAGGAGGAGGAGAGGGGGAGAAGAGAGAGAGAGAGAGAAAACAGAAAAAGGAGACAGAGAGAAAGAGAGAGAGAGAGAGAGCAACGCCCGAAACACATTCGAATACCTTGCACCGGCGCGCTCTTCACCGCATCGGCCTTCCGCCTGCATTTACGTCCTCATGCCAGATGTCCCTCCTCATCCCTCCTCATTCCTTCCTCCTCCTCCCTCCTCCTCCTCCTCCTCCTCCTCCTCCTCCTCCTCCTCCCCCTCCTCCGTGTCCTACTCATCGCTGCTTACGTTATAAAGACGTCAGGCGGTTCTACAACATGCAATTGTCTACTAAAACCTTCCTCCGAACTGTAGAGCTACAGGTCTTATCATGAATTCACATGTCGCATACTTGTGTAGACCACCTCCAACATTGTGAATCCATCGTTTGGCGATTCGGCAAATCCAAAACCGCTGGCGTTGCGCTGAATGCAACTGATCTGGAGGAGCCCCTAAAAAACTGGACACGCATGCCCATCGACCGATAAAGGCATGCTGTCCAGGACTGGACACAGAGGGTCCATGATTAGGTTGCCAGAGTGAGCGGAGACGTGGGAGCAGGAGGAGGAGGAGGAGGA